TATATGATCATGGGATGGATTGAAATCTACGCCGCAAAATTATGATTAGTCATAGCTCCATAATATGTCAACCGTGTACCAATTTCCCTCGTGTGAGCAACACGGTTTGGCCGCAACTTTAAGATCAGTCTAAACAGAACACTTCTAACGTGGAGTCTGGTTGGACCGGGATTTTACTCACAACGGGAACCTTTACTGGGTCACCTATGCTCTGCAGTGTACTTTTGCAGCCACACGCCGTCTTTATTACCATCGAGAAAGCTAGAACTGTTTGGTATTCTGCACCTGGGAGAACTCAGGAGAACAGGAACTTGAATTAAGTACTATACTAACCTTATTGAATGTTTGTCTGACGTTGATACTATAGGACTTGTCCTGGGACTCTCATGAATCACATTACCTTTAACCGCCAAGCCTATCATCTTAAGAAGTCACAATCACCAACTTTTCTTAGAAAGAAAAGAAACACGTGTTTGTGTCTCTTCAATTAAGTATGGATTTTCTGCTATGCTCCTTCTGGTATGTATGCGCATACCAATATGTCTTGAGCAGCCGTGCACTTAGTCAGAACGTCATGAACAGTTGATTTCGATTAATTAAATAAATCTATAATTTCGATTTATAATAATAATCAATATATATATATATATATATATATATATATATATATATATATATATGTATATATGTTTATTAGAAATTAGTCTCTTACTGACTATCGGACGCTCAAAGACCGTGATTTGCTTCCATGACAGAGCGACTTCCAGAGCCAGAATTAATTACAGTTAAAGACCGGTCATACATACAGTCCTAACCGACAAAGACCGGCTATGATTCCAAGGATTTAGTGTAATCAACGGTTACTGAATAATGGGTACATTAAGAGCTAATACTGTCGCATCCGATAATACCAAGGGTAAGGTAATACCAAGGGCAGTCCCGCTTTGCGTCTAGGAATATACAATGTGGTATACTTTGATGGTTTCGATATTGTCCTCACGAGCTTTCCTCTTAAGCCTGGAAAATAACTGAGTCGAATATGTGGTACAAACATAAACTAGAATAAATAAATCCAACAGAAAATCCAGATGGATCCGTCGTGAACAATCTTTTTTAACACCGGAAGCTATTTCTGCCGACTGTTGCATAGCGCATAAATGTAGCTACTGTCTGGAGCACGAATAGGTCACAGTAGATTATTGCTTTTTTTCTTTTATCGACGCGAGGGTCTGCAAACTGCAACTGTCCATTATAAGATTCAAAACTTACCACCTTTCTGTAGTGTTTCATTTTTCATGAGATTTATAGATGTTTCCTATATCGTATCTGCATGAATATTTTTTCACGTAAGGACAACGTACCTTGCGCTTGATGACTCGGTCTTCCGTGGACGGCGAGACCGAAAGGTGCAGACGACCGCACTCCGTAGCCGTGCCGATAACCGCGTAGCCACTGGCCTTGATATGTTCCTGAGTGAAAACGATAAAAATGACAATGGCATCAATGTTATTAACCACCACATAAGCTATGACGACGAACAGCGACATAAGTAAAAACGTTCTTAGCGACAAAAGAGTCTTCGTTCCCTGCTGTAACTTCCCTTCCGCTCCGCCTCTTGTTTCCACCTCTTCCTTTTCCTCCTTCTTAAGTCGAAGCGCGACTCAGTTGTATTTTAGTGGCTTGTCCACGGCGATTTGATAATCAAGTCCAATCAGACAAACGAATCCAGGGTCTTTCACTCCAGTCGGTTCAAGGGGACGAGCTATCCTTACCTTCTTTGATCTATCGAAGCGCAGTAGCTCCATCAAATCTTATCGCCTATAACTGAACGATTAGTTCAGCACAAACGTACGGAGATACCCGCATCCAGCGCTGGGCATTCAGCTATCATACACAAACACCGATATCTGTACCAGACCAAATGCCCCCAACATTCACAAAATCCACCCTGACACTTTTCAGTCATCCTAGTGTAAGAAAGCCAGCCACAGAGGGAGAAACTCCCTCGCTTTGTCTAGCCCGCTTTCTTAATTGGTGAATTGCTACGTTCAGCACGAATATATTCGAAACGGCAGTCTTTGCTTCCCGCTTCAATTTAGACCAGATTGCTTCTCACATCCGGGTGGCGAAACATTCTCTGATGCAAAACACGACGTCTGCTGAAGATGCACTTGGTGTCGGGCCGCTCGACAGCGACCATGGCGATGGCGCAATGGGAACGAACATAGACTGAAGAAAAACGACCGAACGGGTAGCCCAAAATTGAGCAACCGGGGTGGGTTCAGAGTCCGTCTACTGAACGGGTTCCCTTTCGAGACACGTGTTTGTTTACTCGTTGGCCTGTCATCATAGATGAAATAAAGGATGTTGCCAGCAAAGGAAAGAGAGTAGAAGAACAAAGCCATTTTTCAGGTTATTTTCGCCTCGCATGGAACAAAGGATCCTCTTTTGCCCAATATGCTCTGAAACAAGCCGTTTAGGATACGTTGCCATTGTGCCAAAACTTCCGCGAGCGACGGGGGTAGGCAAGAGCGCGCACGGGGCATTCTTTCATGGGCGGGTGAGGGGAGGGCACCAGGTGTTTCACAGATGAAATGGTATATTGCTGATGTTTGATACAGCGGTTTCTAGACAGCACAGTTAAGTACATATACTTTGAGGACAGAGGACCTTTGAATAAGGCACAGTGTCTGCTATAGAAGAAAAGGATGCCCGTTTACTCGCTAAAGGGGTGGTTCGACACACTGAAACATAAAAGGTCTGTCCAGACCGATAAGAGGCACATTATACGCTACGTTTCTTCACGGAGTCCTACCACTTCAGGCGGTGATACGACAGTGAAGATCCTTCTTATTTCTTATCTCACTTTCCGGTATTACTCACTTATAAAACTGGACACACTTTAAGATCAGCTGTATCAAATACCGGTCGAAAATACGGATTAGGCGGTCTTTTGCACTCTCTATATATACAACCTTGTACCTACATTCTCAGCTGTTTACACTTGGCTGTCTCAATCCGGAATTTTCCGCGAAGCTAAAGCTCATATCTGCATTGAAGGAAAACGCAGCGGGAAGTCAGTGCAAATTCATTCCGTGGAGGAATACTGTCCACAAAGGATACTACCGATAATAACAAATAATCTTATTAAAAGCTAAGCAGTATCTGTTTTATAGTGATCTCTTTTAAATAGTATTAAATCATTATTGTAGGACTTTCTAGATGATGGAATATTGAAGTACTTTCTTAGATAGTAAGAATGTGCGGTTAATGTCAAAGTCAGATATTCATTCGGCATGATTATGTAGGCTCTCGGCTAAACCGCCGCTTCAATTAAGAAGGGACAAATCGCGTCCTGTTGCAATTGCAGGTATACCGACGTACATGAAAGACAAGAAACAACAGGAAGTTGGAAATAATTCTATATCTATTAGCCAATACGAACTTGAATCTCATTTTGATATGAAAGTACCGATATACAGGCATCAATACAGTTTAGAACTTGATCACTAGTTGGGAGATAACCTTTTAGGACATAATGTTCACATTGCTATATAGGCCTAGATCAAATTATTTATTCCTTTTGAAAGAAATATGACATGCTATGGTAAGACATGAGCGTCTAGACCGGTCACGGATACTTCTCTCGAGAATAAAGTGCTATCAGACATAATCTTTCACAAGATGTGGGTGATACCCCTGGTTGAAAACATGTAAGTAATAAACAGAATATAAGCATAGATGGAGGCCATTTTGTGTCCAAGATAACAGAACATATCTCTGTTATAATGGTACAGAATACAGCACTTGCACAAACTTCGGCAAAAGCATGTTGGCCAATGCCCTTGAGTCCCACAAATATTCTAGAGCTCAGAGACAAGCTTTGGGAAAGACTAGAAAATCACTGCATGAACCAAGCAATGAGTAACTTGCCTATCTAAGACAGACGCTCCGATCATATACCGCGGGGCCTATGCATTCGAAAAACTCGATACGAACGAAAAACTAGCGACAAAACTCTTCTGATCTTGTATGACCTGTTTACAGAAGCACTGCTTTATGGGCCCACAAGAAATTTTCAACGTCCAATACTGGATTTTTTTGGCAAAGGAATGATTTGAGTTACCAGAACTAATGTTCGCACGTGACATAACTTTGGTTTCATATACAAACCAGCACGTTGAGCTCTTGTTGTATACTACACCGTAAGTAAATCTCAGTTCTCAGTAGTCCTCAGAGCGCCCCAGAGTGCTCGAAAGAAGGTTAGACGAAAAAAGCCTCGCGAAACGTATTAGAGAAAATACTAATAGCTAGCGATCATTTTAAACGAAAACATTACTATATATCAAAACATGGCAGAATACCAAATGAAAAGTATACGTTTAACCGCTGTGGCGTGCCCCTTAGCACCTGGGCATGCTTATGTCCACATTGTGGAAATGTGGTGACATTAACGTGAAATACTATCGCAATGATGTGCGAATAAGATAGTGAGATTTAGCGGAGGTGGGCCTCAAAATAACTAGGAGAAGGCCGCTACGTTACACAGACTTTTTTTTAGGACAACGACGTTACACATTCCATGACCGGTAACGCTGCCGACCTTTAACTACACAAGTAACATGTGCCATGAAGTCAAAGACAACAAAACATTCAGCGCAAAAAAATCACACGATCATCTGGATCAGCGAATACCCTTACAGCGCCTAAAACTAGTACAGGAGATGCGCTATAGCTTTATTTAGAACACCGAAAAATACCACGTATCTTTAAGTTGAAATATTTGCCGTTCCGTCACTCTTACCTTTAGTTTGGGTGGCGTCATACAAATGAAGACTTGTATGGCGGACTGTTAATACGTGGATCTGTCCATTACTGTGCGACAAGATGACGTAAAAAATACAGACCTAACATACTTATGTAGCTAAGACAATTAACTGGCTGCAACAGTCACATATATCCCAATTATTATCGTTTAAGAACAATACAGGTAGCAATAGTAGTGCTTAAGCTCATGTCAATAGAGAGTTCAAATAGTCTTTATGTTAAGTATATGTAGTATTTGCGCCACAAAATACATAGGTTTCTGCTTTAATGTGGAGTCGTAATATACGTAGTATGCTTAAGCATGCTTGTCGTCTTTTATGGGTCTATTTACCTTACAAGTGGATTAAGACATGGACGCGAACGCCCCGACGCTTCTGACTACGCCGCCGCTGCGTTAGGTATATATTTAAATGCGTATCGTCTTCGGAAGGCAGCAGGTAACACTCCAGCTGTACTGGTCAATCTCTGCCGAACATCTTCGACTTTTTTCGGGCGCTAAGGGGAGTAGCTTGTTAGAAATTACGAACTCGCCTTTGTGTTACTTGGTGATGACCTTGAAGGCCTACGTTACGGCCGCGTTACCTGCCTAACGCCTTTTAGGTTTCCAGCTTTTCCAAAATAGGATGTACGCACGAGCGTTGTTGGACATTGTTAACGGCGCCACAGGAGTTTCGTTTTCACTAACAGTGAATGCTATATAGCGTATATACATGCCCGGCAGATACTGGGGGGATATAGTCCATGTATACTTTCTTCTCCTGAGAAACAACAAAGTGAATAACTAAAGAATAACAGGCCAAGGAGAAGCCTCAAATTACGCAGTTCCCGAATTATCTGAACGAGTACGGATTATACTTAGTAATGCGCCGTTGCACACCGACAGAAAACTGAGCGGATCGACGCAAAGACAATATATACATCAATTTTAAGGCGAGATCATCGCTTTCAATGAGTTCATCAATGGTTTTTTAGGTGCCGCTGTTGTTAGCTGACTGCTTTTCAACTGAGGCTCAAAAATGACTTAATAAATTTCTTAATAGTAACACCCACCATCTGATGTGGGCCTTTAAATCAGTCTAAATTTCCTATCCGTGAATTCATCACATGCAGTCTTCACAGCATTACAATATAGTAAGTTGCCGTTTCTTAACACAGAACTTTTCTATTTTCTAATAACAAATAATCTATTAATTATGAATATTAATAGAAATTAATTATGACTGAATTGAAATCAAGTAGGAGATCGCATTTCATTATAGGAAAAAAATTATCCTATATTATGAATTTCATTGGAACATTATGCGAATGATGTTCAAGTCATTTGACGATTTAGTGTAAGGTGATAAACAAAACCCAAATGGGCTAAGGGCCGTCCCACACAAACGGTGGCTTCTTCCTTGGTTTTGAGCAAGAGTAATATGAAAGCACAGGAACGCTAGGTGGTCCGTCTTCTGATCCTCATTGTTAAGGTGTGCCCTTCATACTTTGTCCGTTTTGACAATCGATTCAACGGAAAGTGTCGATAAAAGCAGCAGACTTAGGTACTGGCTTACGTAGGTGTAATTCTCCATGCAAATTTTTTTTACCCTAGCGATGACTCCCAATTGATACTGAATTTCGAGATTTAAATAGCTTTTTGTGC